CTAAGCAGCACCAACAGTTCAAAACGCCACAACTTGTACAAAAATCGGTTGATTCCTCCATTTTCGGCGGTAACCAGTTTGCAGAACCAATGCCAAAATTGCAATCATCATCGTTAGCCAATTTCAAATTTGATGATCCGCAAAATACTTCCAGCGCAAGCAATATTGCTGGTAGCGTATTCGATGCTCCTGCAAAAGATAATGGCAACTCTTTATTTAAAATTCCTTTTGCCGCCGCTAAACCTGCCACCACTATTGCTAGTGGATTAGGTAATTCCATCTTTGGTGGTGATGCATTTAAACAACCGCAACTACCATCTGCTGCTGGTGTTTTCTTATTCGAAGATGCTAAGCATCGTGTTAAGAGCGATAACATTTTCGGCAATGTCGCCAAATCGACAGCAATCATTTTTCAGCAAACAAAGACCCCAAATCCAGAACCCATGCCTAAAGATAGCGTGTTTCAGCATTTCAACACGCAGCCGGTGCTGCCAAACTTTGTTGAACCCCATTTAGAGGTCAAGGAAGAGTCGAAAACTATTTTTGGCGCTGCCGCTTTCCCGCAGCTATCTTCAGCACTGCCGCAAGCAGAGACGGCTAAGCGCATAGCTGAAGCTGAACTGGGCCAGCAAAAAGAATTTGAAAGACAACGCGAACTAGAAAAAGAACAGGAGGCAGCAAAGAGCGAAGAAGCGGAAAGGAAACATCAGGAAGCATTAAAACTTCTGCAACAACGTGCAGAACGTGTTAGTGCTGATGAGCTGGAAAGCGTGCTTGCCACACAGGTGGCTGTTATTGCTCAAAGCGAACTAAGCAAATACCAAAAGCTTCAACGGGACTGCGAAGGTATTACTGAGGCATTGCTTGACCAATCTATAGCTATGCAACTCGAAGAGTTGGCCAATGAAGAATATGCCATGATGTGCCACGATCAGCTTATCCTCAATCGCTACTTTGAACGCTGGTTACGCTATACACGCAAGAAAAAGAAGCAACGCGCTCTAATGGAGTCCACGCCCGTTTGGGTGACCATGGACACACGCGCTGAACAAACTGCCAAAATAAGGCATCCCAACCAATCAGAAACTTTGCAGATGATCAAGCGTTATCGACATGGCGAACCGTGTAATTTCCAACTGCTACTTTGGAAACATCCAGACACGCCGTCACCTCCGTTTCAGTGCATCGACATTTTCGCGGTGGTGCGCGCACATATTGCACGTAAAACGATAGTAAAATGTGGCCACATGCAAAGCATCAAGTACTTTAAGTTAGTGCTGACGCTGCCCAATGATCACGATGAATTGCCCGGCTTCGAAAGTCTGTGTAACAAGTGGCTGCGCAAGCATGTGAAGCGTATCAATAACGGCAACACTTCGGAAGTGGATGATACGTACAATAGGAGTCCATACATATGCGCCATGGAGCGTGATGTGGCATTGTGTGTGCGTAAGGTGAGCGGTATTCCGCCACTAACAGAGAGGGGCAATACAGTGTGTAACGAATGCGACAACGCGGATGCAATTATCTGCCTAATGGGTTGTGACAGCATACAAAACACGCGTAAGCGCATGCATCACCTAATCAAATTGAGCCGACTGAACAAAGCTGTGCCAGTAGCTTTCATAGTCTACGACGGCCAATATACAGATGAGCTGGAGCTGAGCGATATACTGGAAATGGAGACATTAGTGGACGAGGGCAAAATAGCGGGTTACAAATTTTNTCCGAAGCATTAGAGATACAAAAGCTACAAAGTTTCCTAGAAGCATGTTTGGGTGAAGAATTGTGGCAGCGCTGGCAACAATCCTCCGACCAAAATCCATGCTTTGCTAAGATTTGCGCCATACCGCAACACTTGGCGGAGCTGTACAATGAAGCGGTGAAGCGTGTCATGCAAATCACTGCAGAAGACTTTGCCGATGCGGCAGAGCTTGCGGAGGAGCTGCGTGAATTTGTGCCCAAATTAGAGGTCGATATACCGCTTGGCTTTGAATACTTCCCAAAGGACTGGAAATCTGCGCAGCGCCGACATCAGATTTCAATATTTTTGCAGCGTTTGTTGTTAGCACCTATTGAAGAAGAGCCACAATTCCATGAGGTCGACGACTGGGAATTGTGGTTGCTGAACTATGCTAGTCGTTGCATACCAAATGATGAAGAGATCGCCACTGCCGCTAGTTATCAATCAATCAGAGCACTAATTGAACAGCTGAATCGTAGCGATTTAGCCCATCTAGATGTGGTGGCACGCTTCCAAGTAATAAACTATTTGCCTGTTATGAAAGCCATAGCCTACGCACAGATAAATGCCGTGCTCAAGGACTACATCGAAGAAGTCGATACCAACGATTACAAATTGCCCAACGAAATCATTTATCATCGCCAAGCGCTTGAGGATTATCAGCTAGTGCCGTGGTGGTTAAATAACGTGGCGGTTAAAGCGGTGAAAATAGATTACTCTGCTATTGAAGAACAAGACACGAGTTTGCAGGATAAGGAGCTAGAAGACGAAGAGGCAGCAATGAACTGCAAGATGTTGGACGAAATTATAAAACAAGCTGAAGAGGTTTCACGCAAAGCGGAGGAAAACTTTTACTCATTGAAGAAGCAAACAATTAGCGCGGATACAGCGGAGCTGGCACGTGACTTGGATGCTAGCATCTATCAATTTGAATTGTCAAAACAAATAGGATGCTATGATGCCTCCTTTGTGTCAAAGGCAAGTGAAATTAATACCGACTTAGAAGGGGCAGTTGGTGGCGCTATTGCAATGAATAATAGAAGCGGTGGCGGTGATAGCTTTTCTAAAACGCCTACAAGTAGAAAACGTAAGCATATCGGAGGTGCTCATGCGGAAGGTAATGAAATGGAAGCGGTTATGGCACGCGCTTTTAATGTTATTGAGAAAGTGGAAGCGAAACAAGACCGTGCCGAACGTCTGTGCAAGATGGCTATGCTAGAGCTGGAATGATTGTTGTCAAGTGTATGATTCGATTTGACAATATTTATGTGGTAACTTATTAAGGGCGGGGGGATGAATGCTAAATTATACTAAATTATATTACATATGTATGAACGTAGTTATATCAAGAATTAGGCTTCAAAATAAATTTTAACTATAAGGACGTTTTAGAAAATGCATTTATTTATTTTAAAAATAGTTTAAAATGCTAACTCTAGCAACCGAGCGATAAGATGCGGAGAATTTTCAACAAAGCAAATCGCACAGGGTGCTGGGGTGAGTTCTTAGCCAGCCAGTACAGTAAGAAGTTAGATTAGAAAGGACAAAAGAAGCATTTGCAGAAAAATGTGGGAAACACAGCACCTACAAGATTAGGAAAAGACTTAGCCAGGGGAACTATGCAAACAGCGCAGCAAACAGGTTCCGTTAAACAGGAGACAGAGTCCTGATATTTCAGTCAGGAGACTGGTAAAATAGTTATTTACCCGGCGGACATTTGATGGGCATTGGACTCGTTTGATCGCTAGAAAAATCGCGCTCGGCCACAACCAGAGCTACGGAGACACTGATGGCGTGTAAGCATCTAGCAGGTATATCTTGATGGGTGTAGGAGCCCAAGACGGAAACAACCTGGCGTCCTAATAATTCCGAGGCACATGTTCAGGTGAACATTCTGAAGTGGGACACAGAAAATCTTAAGAGACTTTGAAGGCAGTTGTCTTACCTAGCATTTTTCAAGCGTTAACGTTTAAATACTTTATCTTTTGAGGTTAAATCCTCTAGTTTTGGAGTGCATTGAAAAATTTGACGCCCTTGTCGATTGCAATATGGGTACCAGGCCACAGGGGAACTAGTCGTAAGGGAATAGATGGCAATGACGTAGCGGATGGCTTAGCCAGAAAGGCAGCGGCCTCAACTCCCTCAGGGACAGAGCCATTCTTTGCAGTAAGTCCAAACACGATCAGTGCAGAGATCAGGAAGTAGATAATCAAATTCTCAGTCATTCGCCAAGCCAAAAGCTTAATGCTAGTAAAAACTGGACAGATATGGGCTTCTAATTAATAATAATAATAACCTTTTGGCGCTTACGATTTTGCTAAGTGGGTGGGTGTCTTGAGTTGTTATTACAAACGGAGGGACCTATAGAGAAGCTTTTTCATTGCAGAAATACACTCGGAGATTCGCCATTGCCTGCCGAAACCTTCTAGTTTTAGATGTTGCCCGGATTGGGGATCTAACCACTCAGTCAAAAGAAATAAAGGATTTTCCTAGGCGTGTGGTTGCAACGGCACTGTTAAGCCCTGCCTAAATCGGCTAGTCTATCTATCGTTGCCCTCAAGCTCAACTAACGGTAGACGGGAGAGGGGTATTAGCTTAGTGGGTTTGATGGAGTAAGTGAAGAGATGGTTGCTGTCGTACGGGAAACCTTAACAACCCGGAAACATGTTGGGTATCGTGACCTTAGGTGGTAACCGATGTCGTTTATGTATACATATGTATGTATGTAAATATATTGATATTATGTATATGTAGATATGCTACGGGCTAGATTCACAAATACCTTATTAAGCTTTATGAAGCATCACAAAACAAACAATCTTAGTGCGACTGAAATAAATAAATCAATAAATATTTTGTGATTAAGAAAAACACAACAACAATAACAAAGAGATCATTAAGCTGAGCGCAAAATACATTTTCACAAATTGGCATCCGCTTTCTACCCTATTATGAAACTAGTAATTTTTAGCAAAAAAAAACCGACTTCAACTCTCATATAAAAATATATATATATATATATATATATCTCATGATCCGCTGATCGGATCTTAACCAGATTAGTATGGGACCACCTCTGAGACACTACCTTTCCGATGCAAAAAGAATTATCGAAATCGGTTGACGTAGTCCAAAGTTATGCGGTAACATACATAAAAAAAAAAAAAATATTCCGACGAAATGATAACCTCCTCCTTTTTTGGAAGTCGGTTAAAAATAGATGTATTCATACATAGTACATGTCTACTTAAGATATTCAAATAATTACCACCTTAATTTCACAACTTGCTAATGTAAAATGTCGATGCCCCAAATTCGCCTTATCTCTTATCATCGACGAACGTAAGAACTGCATGAAATATCAACAACAATAAATATTATTGTACTGCTGAGCCTTAAGTACACTTGTCAAATGTGCATGCATACTATTTTCGGCTTGATTCGAATCGGAGATAAACATGTTTTTGCAATGTTGAATAATAATGAAAAGCTGCTTTTCTGTTGAAGAACTGCTAATTTTTATTAGAATTCAAGCCCATCAGCAAATGCTGCTTAATATTATTCGTGCTATAATGCTTAATATTTGGCACGAACTTGAATACAGTAAGACTCTAAACTACCGTATTTTTTTACGGGCCTTCACCTATTTCATAATTTCACGCCATAAACTTAGTGACTAAAGATAGAACTAACATTCATTTTATAGAAATATATATAGGGTTGTTCTTGGTTCTTCTCCTATAATTTCAGTGTCAACAGCCAACAACACTAAATGCTTTGTTAGCACGTGCTTGTTGTGAGTGCAATAATGACATTTTTTTGGTTCTTTGCCAATTAACGCTTACTTCTTTATTCTCGTAACACAAATATGTTTTCTTTGCGTAGATATTTCTAGAACGTCTTGCATACAAAAACATTTGTTGTTGTTGCTGCATTTTCTAATTAACTGACACATTCACTAAAAAAAGGTATCTTCAAACTTGCAACATTTAACATATAAATTGGTTTTTCTTTACATTCATTAGCAATAAGTATATATTTTGAATTACGTTGAAACATAAGGGAAATTTATATAATTGCCAGCAAGTTTATGCCATTCCAATAATTTACTGCAAGTGATGTTGAGCCTTGCACTGTCGTAGCGCCTCGTTGAAGCCCTCGCAGAGTGTCAGGTCGGATTGACCCTGAGCACATTGCAGGAACTGCTTGATTTCCCAGGTGCAAGGGCCTTGGGGCTCGTTGGGCTGAGCGCCGTTAGCAAGATATTGTTGAGCTGGTGCCGAGGCAGCAGGGGCGGCTACTTCTTTATCGCCAGAGCCACTGAACAACCCGGTTATGCCGGCCCCGATGGTGTGGCCCTGAAATTAATCATTTTTTAGGTTAATGTTAATATATCGTAAAATTTTTTAATTTTTGCGGGAAGGCATTATACCGGGAAGCACCATTAAATTAACTGATTTGTTTATATAATTTAATTTATATATGGGTGAATTCCAAAACGTCAAAATACAAAGCATCAGTGTCCTTTATTTCTAAACAGCACTTGAAGAAAAGGTCTAATTTGCGCAACCTAGTTGAAAATTAGCATCTAACCTTGGTTGCGCACATTTGGAATTACAATCTGCTGAGGTTTAGAAATAAAAGACACTGATGCTTTGTATTTTGACGTTTTGGAAAGCAGCCTATTATGTTTTGCTATTCCAATTACTTACCACTGCTGATCCGACGGCTACGCCGCCAGCGGTAGCTGCCATCTGCTGAAACATCGATGGTTGCTGTGGTGCGCCAACAGCGCTGGGTGCAGCTTGTACAGGCGCTGGTGGAGCAGCGGGTGCAGTGCGTGCTGGCACATTTGGTGTTGGTGCCGATGCATGGTGTGTAGGCACACTCCTGGGTTATAAGGAATAGAAAAATCGTTATATCATGTTTGTTCTCCGTTATTGATTTTAATGATATGTATTTGTTTGGTTTCATCAATGCGCATTGCGTTTCGATACTAATCTACGTAATGTTCGAGAAAGTTGTGGAGCTGTTACGCAACAACGAAAATGTGTTCGCCGTACATCAAAATTTCACCAACAGCTTTTCTTTACGGTTTATCATCAATAATTGCACTAATTAATTATAGAAGTACATTTTTTAAGTGGAAATGTTAATAAACTCCACGAATGACCTAGCACTTTGTACCAATGTGGTTGTAAACGTCACAGATCCACAATTTTCCCACTGCAAAAATGGCCAATGGACTTACCTCCTGGTAGCTGGTGGTGGGCTAGCCGAACGTCCACGTCGTACCATTTTTAGAAATTTTCTTTTTTAATCACAAAAGTTTTAAACAATTAATTATACTAATATTTGGTATTCGCTCGAAATTTCACTTATATTTGGTTTGGAGCTTTTCGCTTTTTACGACTTAATTCTTGCTTTTTCTCTTTTCAACTGACGTTTAATTCACAGCTATGTGTCTTTTATAAAAATTCTGATTTGCCAGAAATTTCCTTCTGCTGCTTCTGCTTCCAAAACATGATAGGCATTTGATCCCTAACTGCGCGTTTACATTAGACAATGCTGTCAAGACAATAAAGAAATAAGTCTTACTTGTCAAAAACGCTGATAATTGTCTCCGTGGCATAAGCGTACTGACAATAGTTATGACAATTCATTTTGAGCAAAATGACGGATGTGAACGTTGTATTATAATACGCATTTCCCGCGAGCTATTTAAACTAAACACTAAAAAATAATAAATAATAGACAAACACCCGATTTACATGATTCAAGTACTTGAAAGCAATTCTTGCTCATTCTCTTTTGTGTTTTCTATTTGCTTTTACACGTTTCAATTCTGTTGAATTCAAGTTTTTGGTTCTTTAAATGGGAAGCAACGAAAACGCCAAAAGCAAAGCAAGAAAGTTGAAACGACTTGACGGTACAGACGCATGCGTACTCGTCCCTTTTCTTCTCAACCCCTCTCTCCCACATGCGAGCAGAATTGAATTCAATACTTGAACTGTGTAAAAGCAGTCAAAGTTGCATACCCATCAGCGTTTCTTGTGTTATTTTAGTTCTTTTGTTATGAATTTCTTTTCTTGCACAAGACGTCAAAATTATTGTCTGCATACGTCAAATCACTGTCCGATTTACTTCATGGACTAGGTTCACACAAACTTTTGTTGCTCATTTTCGGCAAATTCTCTTTTGGTGTTGCCCTTCGCGTTCACACAGAGAAATTATTGGAAATTATTTTGTACACAATTGTTTTTGTCAGCTGTGAACGGCCAACTAGAATTACTCAGACGAACGAAAGCGTGTTGCCCGAGCACGAGCAACTCGGTGTCCTTCCTCGTCTCCCCCTCTCACACAACTAACGAGCTGCCGCGAGAAAGGTTTCTCCGTCTGGACCTAGACATGACAGTATTGTCCGATGTAAACCCTAATATAGGGTTTTCAAAAATTCCAAACTACTCAAAAACGCGAATATTTGGTAAATTTCAAACTTTGTGTGGTAGATGCTCAAAAAATTGGCAGAGATGTGGTGAGAGTCCGATCACTGACTGGATGGCATCACCGGGAGCGCACGACAAAAGAGCGATGAAATTCCGCAAAGCAGAATGTGATGACATATCTGTCATGCTTTATTTTGATTACTTTTATTTTCTGTTCATTCTGTATTTTCTTCTCGAACGTTGTGGACGCTTTTTAAACAATAAAAAAGGTTTCCCTTTTTGCATTTATTCAGAAAAAAAGCACTAAACTAATTGTGACTAATCTATCCCACATTGTAACAAATAGCCATCATTGAAAAATCACAGAAAAGAAGCGTAACGAGTTGCTTAAGCTAATGGTTAAAACTCATGGGAAAAATTGATGTGTATAAAAAACTTGGGCTATAATTTACGCCACAGTGAATGACTACTGCGTTTAATTTAAAAGCGACAAAGTGGAACGAAGACGCTGAGTACTACTCGTACTTGAAAAAGGGTGATATCGTAGCCAGAGAACGTTCTCTGTCGTAGCCAAGGTAGTGGGTATGTATGTGTATATTTTTATGCATTCCAAAAATAATTCGTACTTAAATTTTACAATAACTATTTTTTAAAATTGCAACTGTAGTTTAAACCATGTTTTTATCATGGTTTAAACTGTAATATGTACACATATTTGTATGGGCACACATATAGTGTTTAATTTTACATTCGCTAATACATACTTTGTTTGCTAAATCTTACAGTGTGTGTATGACCCAGAAAGTCACCCTCATCTTTCGCAATATTACATTATACCTCCCCGTATACATACATCCACCTACTTTATAGTAAATAATTTTTCTGCTTTGTGTGTATACATATGTATTTATGTGTTTGTTCGCAATTCATCCACTTTTACGTCCTTGTCACTATTTCCCAATCAGCCACCATGCGTTCAAACCACCAGCGGACCACCATATCACTACGAGCAATGCCGTCAGCAGCAATTTCTATTCATTAAATTCAAACATAGATTTACATATGTATATGGTCGTTGTATCTATACTTAGTACAAATGTATATGTGTATATCCATCCAAATAGCTTTGTATATATTCCTTGAAGAGCGCACTGCAAAGTTTTGTGTGTTTCCAAATTTGTTTTCGGTTGCTGCTTTGTCTTAGAGTTTTGTTTATTTCACAAGCATTTTTTTTTTTTTTGATTGTGGATAGTGTTAGATGGCCGGAAACTCCCACAGGCCAGGGTGATCAATAAACTTAACGCGTTTCACCACACTGTTGTTCTCCTTCAAAACTGCAGCATCCAAACAGCTGCAGAGCTTTAGTATATATCTCGTCTTGACATTCGTAAAGTTTCAGCTCTTATCAAGCCAGTTATACAAAACCGCCAAACAAAACAGAAAGGCAAAGTAAATGCCTACTTCCAAGTGCAATGAGCATAAAACAAACAAAAAAAAACAAAAACAAAAAACAAAACAAAAACCGGAAAGCAGAAAATCACGAGCTTGGCCTTCCCTGTTGAGCGATTTGACTACAAACATAA